CAGGGAGTCCTGGTGCATCTTCATGGGCTGGGGGAGGATGAGGAGTTGAGGTGAGGGTGCCCTCCATCCCCTCTCACCGTGCCCTCCCTGCACTTGGACGTTGCACAGGGATTCTTGTCTTCTCCTTATGGGGCTGATGTCTGCAGGGCACCCACCCTCCATCACGTCTATTGGCTCGGGCACTGTTGCCCTATCTTCCTCTACCTCTGATGGAGGGGGAGCATTTTGGGCCATACCATACCATACCATCAGGCTGTGGCACCAGCCCAGCATCCCTTGGCAGAGGTGGTCTGGGGTGGGGAGGGCAGATGGGGACCCATGCAGAGCACAAAGCCAGATGAGGCGAGGTCCAGCCAGGTGGCCCCTGGGGAAATAACCTGATCTCAAGGATGACCCAAACCCATTTCCTCACATTCCCGATCTTCATCCTCTCTGGGCAATGCATGCCCAAGTGGAGAGGCTCTGGGAACTGGACTGGACTACTGTGGTCTTTCTTGCACACACCAGGACTGTGAAGGGACCCCCAACCCCAGGTATGGGACACACAGAGCAATGGGCAACCCCTTCTCTGCCACACAGTGTGGGCACGATGGTCCGGCCATGTCTCTGAGCGTTGCTTTAGGCGAGCCCTCACAACCACAGCCAGGACGCACGGTGCCAAGCCAGTTATGGCCACGCTCCACGTGTGTGAGTACTTACAAAGAACATGGACAAGGTCCTTCGCGTGTGCAGGCGACGCTGGGAACAGAGGAGAAGGGAGGGGTAAGCATGTGCTAACGCAGAGCAAGGTCACAGCTGCCTTGGCAGGCAGAGGATGGGCAGTGGGGCTCAGTACCCCACAGAGAGCTTCCATGGACACAAGCACAGCATGCAGCATGCGCACATTTTTGAGCATGGGGACGTACACCCAAAGCATTCATCAGTGGTCTCAGGATGGGTGTATGGACCTGTGTGAGTGCAGGAGCACCCATGGGCAAGGGTAGCTGTGGGGGATTTACCAGGGTCTGGTTGGCGGATAGCATGGTGGCATCGGTGCTGTCACCATGCAGGGGCACCAGCGGCATGGTTCCAAACTTCTGCTTGGCGAGGTCGGAGGAGGAGTGCCGGCGCATGACCACGGGACGCAGGTCATCATGCTGTGCACAAAGACAGGG